GCAATCTCAATAAGGAAACAAAAATGGACAATGAACAGAGACAATGGGACATACAAGCTTTCCCACATATATGACCAACTCTTTCAACCTGAAAGGCCAAGAACCTGGAACCAATCCTGACAGGAAGAGAGCTAGCTCCAGAGGGTGTTGTTCACACAATGACAAAACAACAGTTGCTAGCTCACATAGAGTGACAAAGTCATGTTGATAACAGACAAAATCTCATTAAAAAGTTCTACAATTATTATTATTTTCAATTCCATTGGTAAACCACTTTTTATTAGAGAGGTTTCACACGCGAACAAATAAGTGTATGCATACGTTTAGCTATCCGTAACAGCTCGTATCATTCTGTGTTTTTTGCAATCACAGCGCAATTTAAGCATAGCCTAGGCCAAGTCTAGGGCCTTAGCTTAGGCCTACTATATTCTGTTCTCTTCTTTAATCATGCTTCTCAAAGTTTTATTAGTATATGTAAGGTTTTGGAAATTGCAATTGAAAATTGTAGCCGTAACAGACTTTCTTTCTTGCCCAGAAGTGTTGGTTATTTTGTGATAAGCCCTATTGTTTATGACCCAAAAGTGCCTGGTTACAAGTAGGCCTAGGCCTACACAAAATGCCAACACCTCCAAGGTCAAAGCACTGACATTTGATAATCCAAAATGAGAAGCATCCTTTCATAATTTGCTGTCTTCAAATGTCACAAAAATGACACGCACGTATTCAAAGATACATTTTTTTTTTTACACTTATGTAAAATGTGAAAATACAAATTAGGATCCTACTAGAAATCTAAAATCTCCCTACGCGTTTTTCACTTACGTGTAGTGAGCGAGATATGCGTGTCGTCCACACATTTAGCGGATAACAGCCGGTGCATGATGTCAAAATGATGACGTATCTGCCACACTAACCGTAACCGTATTATACACACTCACTCACCACTGAGGAAGGACTAGAATTGTCCAAAAGCTCTGGTTCTATTTCTGGCTGTTTACTTGCATTTACTTTTTAGCTGTTGCTTATAAAATTTGTATCTCTACAAATAGATCCTGCCATTGTTTCCCACAGCATTGTTGTTTTTCCGTATTTTAACTTATATATACACGTATATATATATATATATATATATATGTACATGCTTCTCAAAGTTTTATTAGTATATGTAAGGTTTTGGAAATTGCAATTGAAAATTGTAGCCGTAACAGACTTTCTTTCTTGCCCAGAAGTGTTGGTTATTTTGTGATAAGCCCTATTGTTTATGACCCAAAAGTGCCTGGTTACAAGTAGGCCTAGGCCTACACAAAATGCCAACACCTCCAAGGTCAAAGCACTGACATTTGATAATCCAAAATGAGAAGCATCCTTTCATAATTTGCTGTCTTCAAATGTCACAAAAATGACACGCACGTATTCAAAGATACATTTTTTTTTTTACACTTATGTAAAATGTGAAAATACAAATTAGGATCCTACTAGAAATCTAAAATCTCCCTACGCGTTTTTCACTTACGTGTAGTGAGCGAGATATGCGTGTCGTCCACACATTTAGCGGATAACAGCCGGTGTATGACGTCAAAATGATGACGTATCTGCCACACTAACCGTAACCGTATTATACACTTTACTTGCATTTACTTTTTAGCTGTTGCTTATAAAATTTGTATCTCTACAAATAGATCCTGCCATTGTTTCCCACAGCATTGTTGTTTTTCCGTATTTTAACTTATATATACACGTATATATATATATATATATATATATATGTATATACGAGCACGCGTGTACATATATACGCGTGTACATACATACGCGTGTGTATATATATATATATATACGCATGTATATTATACATATATATATATACGTATATATACATGTATATACATACATATATATATTATGTATATATACACGTATATATAAGTATATATATGTATATATGTATATGTGTATATATATATATGTATACGTGTATATATATATATATACACGTATATATATATACACATGTATGTATATATATATATACATGTATATATATATATGTATATATATATATGTTTATATATATAAGTATAAATAAAATATATAAATATAAATAAAATATATAAATATAAATAAATAAATACAAAATTTGTGGGACATGTGCTAACAGGACAAGCGAGAATTTTTGGCTGTGTTCTGATTGGTAGTTGATAAGGTGGAAAGGTCATTATGGAACAGTACTAGATAATATATTTTTATTGACTGTTTGATGGCTAGAATATCATTATCTAATCTTGAATCTATGCCAAATTACAATTTACAATGAATGTAATTCAAATATTACAAATATTTTTACTGTTTATTAAATCTGAACACCAACACAACAATTATCACCCCCAAAAAAACAAAGGTTACTATTAACAATAACTGTTGTAATTTAGTTGAATTTATGCGACATTTAAATACAATACACTACTTAATTTATTAATACTGAAAATGTATGCAGTACAAATGGTGTGTATGAATACGTATAAAGTATATGATTAATATAGTATACAAAAAACAGGTTCAAAAATTCAGAGAGCAAAGTTAATGTGTATAATGAAATGGATTAGAGAAGAATACGAGGAGAATAATGCACACGAGATATAGCATTTGACACAAAATGTTAACTTGCATATGAACCACCTATCTGAACAACAGCAAAAGAAGCAACTGAAATTGGATGGGAGCAGGGTAAAGGTTCTTAACAATTTTGACATTTACAAATAATTAACACATTAACACATTTCGACGGTAATTATGTGTTATAGTTTGACATTTACAGTACAGTGAAATTAAGGGGCATTTATTTGAGTATACATCCATTTTACTAGGTATCCCAATGAAGCCATTTTGAGTGTATACAGTTTTCAAAAATTTGTGAGATTTGAAAAAATGACACAACATTGATGTTGAAAATACTATACTCATTGTGAATTTTTGCCAATAAAATTTATATATTTTGAAAAAGCATGTTATAGTGTTTACTTACATATATTTTTTAACAAGATTGATGTAGTATTTGATAAGTAAGTGCGATATTAAAATGTGTTGAAAAACCTGGTGAGCCAAATTTGCTCGCATAAAAAAAACATTGGGAAACCCCCTTTCCAACTTTATGACCGTCAAATCTAGCGGAATGATTTTTTTTGCATGTTATCAGGCTTTAAACAAGCTTTATTTTGATGTGTAAACTGTCTAAAATTGATGTGTTCATCCACCACAAAAAACAAAATTAGTGACAAAGTTGGTGTTACGAGCGATTGTTCATGAACAAAACCGATCGAAAATACCACTAAAGTAAAGCTAGATCTTATTTATATCTGAGAACTATCATTTAATAACAGATTTTGCATGGTCATCAAGCAAAAACATTTTGAAATATGGTGAATTCGGGAGTAAATACAGTTGAAAAAATTCGAGACCACGCCATTGTGTATTCGGTGAAGCTTACTTACCACACGCGTATTAATCACTAATCACTACCACTTAAAACCCAATTTATAACCCACTGCAAAAATGGATGGTTCCAGTTCGCCCACTGCTGCACGTGTTCCGCTGCTGTCGCACTGCACTGTGAGAGAGGTAGAGAGCCTGCAGCAGGCATAGTTTGTGATACAAGATCAAATATACAATTAAAACTAGCAGAATGTTTTTAATTTGACGACTTTTCTTTACCCAAATTTTAATATTCAACCAAATATTCATATTTCTATTCGAGGACCTTGAATAGAACTTACAGTAGGCTAGAAGATGAACCTGGGATGGTCCTAGTGTGATCGCGAAAAGCGCTCAACAGAACAACGGAGGCCTAGCGTGGCCTACGCTACATATGGGGTCTCTTCTCCTGCTCTTCTCTCATCTTCATTAATTCTTAAACCAGTTAAACTATGGTCGAATTTTAGTTTATCATTTAGTTTTATCATTTATATTTTAAATAATATTAGAATATCAAAAATCTTTGTCAAATTTACTGTATAATCAGAGCACATACCCTTTTTGAGATGACGTTTTAAAAGGCTGTTGTGAAATTTTTCTATTTTTGAGAAACACGCAAAAAATCGGCACGAAATAGCAACCGACCATACTTAGGGCCATTAAATAAAAAAAACGACATTAAAGAATGACCCAGAAAAAAATACACACATAAAAGAAATTAGACATTTCTTTCAAAGTAATGGCCCTCCAAAAATGCTCCAAAATCAGTCTGAAAAAAAAGGACCCACTTTTTCGCATATTGACCCCCTATTTTTCCATCTTTAAAGGGCCAAAACTTTTGAACGGTGTATTGGATTATAATAATTCAAACTGGAAAATGATCAGTGCAGTGCAGCTTAGCTCAGTCGGCTAATCTGGTGGTAGCCACTGTGTGTGCGCTGAACCGTGGAGATCTCTAGGTCCCCGGTTCAATCCTCATCGCTGCCTCTCCTTGTGTTTCAGCTAGAGGGCTGAAATACAAGTTACATAGCGCACCGTCTTTCAGATGAGACTTTTAAGCCGTTGGTCCCGTGTGCATTTATGCCCATGTGCACGTTAAAGAACACAAACACTCTTCGGAAAAGAGTAGGGGATTGTCTCCCGGTGTACTGTCCAATCACCACCAGAAGGACCCCACTGGAAATAAGTATTCTTCTAGACTTTCGTGAGCTATCCTTGGTGCTTACACCAAATAAATCCAATCCAATCCAGTGAGTTACTGTAGATCTAATGTTTACAAAATTTAAATTTTCTCATTGGGATACCTAATTTTACACCAAAAAAAAATAAATAAATGCCTCCCTCGAATAAACACCTCTTCAAAAACCCCTCATAATAAATGCCCCGGGTATTTATTTGAATAGATATGTAAATATCCACTAGCAATAAAATCTGGCTCATATTTAGCATAAGAATTTGACAATTTCTACAAGAATCAAAATTATTATATTTCTTGATTAAGGCAAACACTATAAAAGAAAAAGCTTCATTACCTCATCTCCAATAAGACACCTGCAAGATAAAATATAGACAAAATAAGAATTGTGAGTTAACAGTCAATATCATCATCTTTATAATTGTTGCAAAGACAAGCCAAACCAGTCACTCTCCACAAAAAATTTATTTTTAAAAAAGTAAAATGAAAGTCATAAAATGGTGAAAGAATCAAACACGACAAAACTAAACAGAAAACAAATCAGGTTGATGGAGACGACAACCGGGGACTTTAAATGAAAAATACAAGATGAGGTTACAATCAAACACATTTGAACAAAAGCGAAATCCTATAAAAAATACATAAGGCCTATAATTACACTGTGTATATCAATGATACCGTAAAACCTCGAATTGAAGCCCACTGGACTTAATCTCGAGATGAAGCCCATCTCGAATTGAAGCCCCCTCTTTAGTCTGCAAAATTAGCCTCGATAAGAAACCCATTTGTCTTCTTTTCAAGATATCATAGGCTTCCTTTCGACATAGTAGTACATACACTGTACATGAATTTCAGAAAACAAAATAAATTAAATACAAGCTTGGTTTATACAGTACTTTAGGTGATTCAATGCCAGTTAAATACACTCCATGATACAGATAAATGGTACAGTGAACTTATTTATTGTTTTATAGTACAAATTCACAAAGTTTACAGCATTCATTTTGAAAAGAAACCCCATTCGTCACTTTGCAAAAGTAGTCTTGAAAAGAAGACCATCTTGAAAAGAAGCCCATCTAAATTTCGCAAAAAAAAAGAAGCTCAGGGCTGCAATTCGAGTTTTTACGGTATGTAAAGTAAGGATGTACAGTCTGTCTCGGTCAGAGCAGTCTATCGATAAAGACGATCACCGTGTGCTGCCTTTAAAAAAAACTGCACCACCATCTGCTCTACAGTCGCGGTGGTTGAATGGATCTATTCTAAGTTTGTCTAGCCTGCCCTAGGCTAATAAGAATGTAGGTCTGCTCTATCTAAACTAAGCACAATTTTCGGTCATTATCAACACTAGGAATCTGTCTCTGTTCACCAATGTCTTGACATGTCTTTTTCTCAGCCTCCTTTACTTTATTTTTGGTTTTCTTCAAATTCTCTTCTTCATCGGAGACAGTGGCGCTGTTCATCGGCAATCAAGATATTCAATTTGCTCTACATTTATCGTTATTTGTCTCCATTTTTTCTTTAACCGTTGTCAGCATTGTATTTTTGAACAGATGTTTTATTTCATTCTCTTGTAGCGATGAAAGTCACTTGTTGCCAGTTGATTATTGTTTTTTATTGTTTTTTTGACCACTTTTATTCTCAGCATTTCCTCACGTAGGGTAAGCTTTGATCGGGATACACTGTTGCTGCTTGCAATCCCGCCAACCTCACTCCCCGCGTCGCGTCCCAGGCCGAGATAACCCCCAGCCTAAATCTACTGGACTGGGTTCCTAAGAGAGATGACACTCCACCAAAGACAAGAAAAACAGTGCAGGAAAGGTGGATTAAAACATCGCCAAAGCAGAACTAGTCCTCATCTACCACTTCCAATGATAACTTTATTAAGTAATGTTCGATCACAAGGAAATAAAATTTACGAAGTTTGTGGTTGCACCAAACACCTACAAAAGATCAAGTCTCATTTGTTTCAGCGAAACCTGGCTTCAATCTTCAATCAACGATAATTCTTCAAATATCAATGGATTTGACATATTACGTGCTGATGAAAGGAGGGGGACATGTATGTTCGTGAACAATCGTTGGTGTAACAATGTTACTGTGAAGAAAACAGATTGTAATGCTGATACTGAACTTTTATGTGTGTCTTTTCGTCCTTTCTACTTGCCTCACGAAATTAACGAGCTTGATGTAGTATTCCTCCTGGTGGTAACAAGGAAAATACAACCAATATTATCTCAGAGACCATTCATGACATATCTGAACAATCACCTGACCCTCCAAAAATTGTTTCATGAGACGTTATTCACCGTGAAAGTGACATCGCACACGCTCTCCCATCGTTTCATAAATTTGTGGACAAACCGACACGAGGCATTAATACTCTGGATCAATGTTAATGTTCTATACCTAACTCTTATAAATGTCGCATCGGGCCTGCTATTGGGAATAGTGACCATATCGTTTTTCACCACATTCCGTGCTACAGACAGAAACTGGTCATCGATGATTGATGAAGAAGACCTGGATTACAGTACTCGGTAGATGTTGTTAACGAATATCAGATTCTGTGAAGACCAACTTGTCGGGAAAAAAACTGTAAAAATATTTGGTAATAATAAACCTTGGGTAACCACAAGATTAAATGTCTTTTAAAACAGAGATGTTATGCTTTCCGTGTTGGTGACACTAATTTGTTAAATGATTTAAAGATAGAAATTAAACCAGAAATCAAGAATGCGAAACATAGGTACAAGGTTAAATTAGAAGATTCATTTAAATCTAGTAGAACTAGGGATGCATGGATATGTATTTATACCATGACTGAAATGGATAAGGTCAAAAGTAACTTTTTTGCATCCGATAATAATCCCTTTGATACTGCTAAATCGTTGAATACTTTTTATGCTAGTTTTGAGAATTCTGTCTGTAATGTCCCATCAACCTTTTCTGGAGTTGGAAATTGTCAGTCATTGTCCCTGTAGCAAAGAAGTACCGCCCCCTTTTCAACTAAACGATTTCCGTCCTGTGGCACTTACCTCAGTAATCATGAAGAGTTTCAAAAGAATTATTTTAAAATATTTAATCGACCCCCTTACTGAAGTAATTTATCCTTTGCAGTTTGCATATCAAGCTCATATGAGTACAGAGGATGCAAAAATTTCGCTTGTCCATACTATTCAGCATCATACTCATAACCTTAAGTGTTACGCTCGTGCCACTTTCGTAGATTTTTCATCTGCGTTTAACACAATGCATCCATCTATTCTTCTTAATAAGTTACACAATATCAATGTCAACCCTTTCCTTATTTCCTGGATCAAGAGCTTCTTATGTGATAGGGAACAACGAGTTTTGGTATCCGGTGCTCTCCCTAACAAAATTGTTACTAACGTTGGATTACCACAGGGGTGCGTTTTATCACCACTGCTCTATGTCCTGCATACTAACGATTGTACCTCAAAACTTGATAACAATTTTCTTTTTAAATATGCCGACAACACAGTTTTACTTGGACTGATTTATAATAATGATGAATCGAGCTATAGGCTTTCAGTTGATTCCCTTGAACAATGGTGTATATATAATCGTTTGACCGTTTTAAAGAAGCAAGACCAAAGAAATGATTTTTAACTTTGGCAAGGGTACAGAGTAAACAATCTAATCCAATTAAAATTAATGATGTCGATATAGAGATTGTTTCTACTTATAAAAGTACTTAGGCAGGGCTCGAAATTCACGCTAGCAAACTAGCAATTTGCTAGTAGGTTTGTCATAATTGCTAGGTCAAAATTCACAAACCAGCAAATTAAAAAAAATGATTGCTAGTTGAAATATCTATACAAAATATCTTGTAATTAGCCTAGTATTAACTAAAACTAGACTAAACTGATCTACAAAAACTAATACAAATTTTATTAAATTTATTTATTTATTTTTTAATTATGAAAATCGACTAAAAATGCCTATAATCGACGAAAAA